AGTAAAGGCCTCTTTTGTTTAAATGGACTTGCTTTTGAACTGTGAAAATTTAATCGTGATAGTTTATTGGTTTAGCTCTGGAGAAGCTGAGGCAAAGCTATTTTGCTCCAGCCAGAGCTATTTATATACCATCACTGAGAGCTCCTCTTTATATTATTGGTGTTATTGCCTACTAAAAAAGGAGTGCTAAAAGACAACTTAGGATTTCTTTTTTATTCTTTGCCCTTATTCACCACAATGATATTTTTAGTTTATTTCATCTAGCTCTACATCTTCCAAAAAGGCTTTATCTTTTTCACAGTAGAGGCAGACAAGAACTCAGCTTGAATCCATTCCTTCTCAAGCCTTTTTTTTTTTTGAAGGGTGAAAGGATGAAAGAGAGTGGAACTCTGGGTGTGAATTGAACCTCTTTGCTCTTAGCCCCTTCCTGATCAAAACATCTGCTTCATTGAGGGGAGAAGTGACCAGGAAGTTTAACTGAAGAGGCCTTTAAGAAAAGGGGTGAAAATTGAAGAAGCTATTTCTTTGAGTTGCTCTATGCAGAAGGAAAGATCAGGCTTAGATGTTCATCCTTCACATTGGCTTCTGGAGAAGATCATTATAATTCTGCTTAGCTTTACTTTTAGAAGAGTACTTTGCTGAACAGGGCAGGCAGATAATCATTCATTGTTGCAACTATCTGCTGAACTGGACAAGCTCAGAAGAGGAATGACAGAGGACTGGCTGCTCCTGTAGCTGGAATTTGTTAGCTGAAACTTGGAGAACATAAGACATACAGCTTCAAACAATATCCTATAATAAAGCTAAGTTTGGGAACTTAGAAGATTTGCAGCCCTGAAAGTGGAGTAGTTGAATCTCAGCAAAAGTGTCAGATTTCAGGCCTGGATATGGGGCTTCAACAGAAGAGTTTGAAAGCAGTGCTTTAGCCTGTGATGCAAGGAGTATGCCTGGACACTGTGGCCTGGCCACAGTTATAGATAGCAGCATCCCTCATTTAGTACCGTTGTCTTCACTTCAGGACATCTGTGTGTGTGGATACATACCAACAGTCCATTGTCCATCCAACCTTCCATGTTATCAATGAAATACCAGACTACTTGTTATGTTTCCTTTTTTTTGTATTACCCACCTTATGAGGCATATTGTAATAATATGTGAAGTTCTCTTTTACCTTATCCTGTAATATGAAGCAGTATAAGCATAAGACCTTTTTCTTTAGAATGTCGTGAATTATGCACATCTTTGGGTTATGGGAAGGGATAAGCCAGATGCTGGGCTTCACAACTGCAAATCAATTTGCAAAAGACTATGTGAAAGATAATGCTTAATATAATTCAGCTTCTCTTCCATTAACATCTTGAATTATGGTGTAAAGTTTTATATTTTTTTTCTAGAAATGTAGCTGACATTAGCATTCAGGTATACAGTTCAGTTTATCTCTAGTGAAGAGTCTTAAAATTAATTTAAATACAACACAAGAGACATAGAAAATCGATAATATTTCATTTCTTTTAAGTAAGATCTTTCTGTATACATTTGCTTGGGGTGCTTATAAATTTCTCCCTTTACGGAAGTATTTTATAATAAATGTCAGTTATAGATCTAACTGTAGCAAAAATAGTGCAGGTTCTGGAGTACCTTTGATATATCAGATAAAAACTGCTTAGCTAAGTATTAGTGTAGGAAATAGTGGTACAGTCTCTTAAATGATATTTTTTAAATGTAGTGATATCAATGGGAGAGCATTTAGGACCTTAATATGAGAAATACTGTAGGATTCAGTACATTTAAGATATTGTAAACTGCTTTGCTTATTGGATTACCTATCATAACACTTTATGTGGAGTAGAGATACTAAAAATATTTGTAGATGGATGTGAACTTGACTCACTAATATATTCTTTTTTGTTTACTCCCATTTACTAGTGATATGTGATTGAGTTAGTATTACGTTTAGTTTGAAGATTTTTATCCTAATGTTAGCTACAGTTATAGTGGCATTAGCAAGTCATTGATAGAACTGGTTAGAACTAAATTTGTTAAATATTAGAAATTTAACATTGGGAAATTTTGTTTTTTAATAGCCACGTATGCATTAGTAATTTTTTTTTGCAGTATGCGAGCCTCTCACTGTTGTGGCCTCTCCCGTTGCAGAGCACAGGCTCCAGACGCGCAGGCTCAGCGGCCATGGCTCACGGGCCCAGCCGCTCCGCGGTATGTGGGATCTTCCCGGACCGGGGCACAAACCCGTGTCCCCTGCATTGGCAGGCGGACTCTCAACCACCAGGGAAGCCCCATTAGTAAATTTAAAAGCACCCTCTAGGGGTGTTACTGAGGAAACATTTCTTTTTTTCTTTTTTTTTTTTTTAGAAATAGCTAAGTACAAATTAAGGACAAATTACTCATCAGGTTCCTTTCATACTACAAGTGTAACTGCACTGGTGATTATTGTAGCAGCCATGACTAGATAGAATAACATTCTAAATTGGCCCTCACAATTGAAATAAGTTTTTTTGTTGTTAGGGGGGAAAATGTAGGAGTCTGTAAAAGGCATTTCCTGGCTATCAGATTTGTTTCTGCTTATGCGAGGTTAATGAGTTTGAGAGTAAGAGAGAATTAGATGCAGATTAAGACTTTGGTGTATAATATAATGAAGAAGAATCAACAGTTAATATCTAAGTTAAAATGTGTGACTCCTTTTTTCTTTTTTTAAACAACGCTGAGCATTTCTTTTCTTTTCTTTTCTTTTTGGCCTCGCCACGCGGCTTGTGGTATCTTAGATCTCCGACCAGATTGAACCCAGGCCTTCGGCAGTGAAAGTGCCAAGTCCTAACCACTGGACTGCCAAGGAATTCCCAACACTGAGCATTTAAATTATGACCTAGTTACTTCATAGTAGATGAAAATATAAATGAAACCTAGGAATTCTACTCTTCATTAACTCTGGTGTGGTACTAAAAGATTATGAATTGTTTCAGTTGCAAGAAAAACTCTTGATTTTTAAATTTCATTTGATTTCTTATTGTTTCACCTTCTGAAGTGAACATCAATATTAGTTTAAGAAGGAGGGGGCCAGGAAATCTTTATATGTCTCAGAAAAGATGCCTACTCTTTTTTCTGTTTCTGCAAATGGTGATAACATATGCATCCTTAAGGATTTCTATACACTTTTTTTAATGGCAAAAGAGAAAGACTTATTACATATAACAGTATGTTTACTTATAGCTTCATTTGATATGACAGATGTGGGCGTTAACTTTGTGAATATAAAAAGAATCAGTACATTTTAGTGATCTAAGATTTCATCATTCTGGCATGCTGAGAATTGTTCTTATAAAATATCCTAAAAATTTAAGAATGACTATTAAAGTGTTTTTAGTTCAGAATATAAAATATACTGTGTTGACAAGGGTAAAAATGTTTGTGGTCTTAAGGAGACTCATTAATAATTCATAAACCTGGTAAGACTTTCCCTCTTTTTTAAATCTTTACCTAACAAAAGATGGAGTTAGTCATCTACTATGTACTTTAGACATGAAAAAGCTACTCTGGGTCTCAGTGTGGGATCAGACTATCCAGCCTTCACTTTAGAGAAAGCTGAAGCTGCTTATGTGGCCTTTGAAGTTGAAGCATCATTTCCTCCTGTCTCCACTTGGGTACTCTGTTGGCCCTTGGCTCTTTGGTGCATCATTAGAGTTTTTATGTTTTGACTGTGGCTGGAGGAGGTCAGTGCAAATGGGTTTTGTTCAGCTGCAGACTCACTTGGGCAGATTTTCATTTCAACACTTTTTAAAGTGCTTACTAGGAGAAGAAAATACAATTTTAGGTCAAACAGTTGCCAACTTAATATTTATTTGTAGGTTTATTAAATTCTCACATACACGTGCACATGAGATTTTGTACTTGTAAAATATATGTATTTTTATTTTTTACTTCTGGGTATACACTATTTTTCAGAGTAGGATCAAGAATACAATTTTTAGTTTTTAGATGCTGTATTCTTTTAATTGAGTTAAGGGAATTGTTAATTTTAAGTTTATAATATTTAAAGGAAATATATTTTTAAGCTGCCTCTTCCTAAGTCTGGCACATACTAAAAGTCTGGCACGTTTTTCTTGCTGTTGGGAAAGCAGTGGTGAAGAAGATAGAAAGTCCCTGCTTTCAAGGAGTTTTTCCATTCTAATAGGCAGTCATAGGCAATATTTATTTAAGCAAATTAAAGACAAATTTCAGACTGTGATAAGTATAGTGAAGGAACCAAAATAGGTAATGGTGTTGGAGGGAGATTGGGAGTTGGGGGTGGGCAGAGTCGGAGAGCTACTTTAACAGGGAAGTAATAAAGAAAGGTCTCCTTACATTGTGACAAAAGGGACCACTCTTGGAATCATCTGGGAGAAGAGCTTTCCAAGTCCAGGGGAAACAGGCACAAAGGTTCTGACATGTTCAGGGATTGGAAAGGAGGCTGATGCGGCTAGCATATAGTGAGTGGAGGGAATGACTGTCACTGAGTTGGGTGTGTTGGCTGGGGTGTATCACGTGGATGAAGAGTTTGATTTTTTTTAACACAGGAGGAAGTCATTGGGAGGGACATGATCTGATTCATGTTTTTGAGAGACCACTGTGGCCTCTGTCTGGAGGGGTGGGAAAGTAGGCAGAGAAGTCATTTAGAATCTATTGCTGTGGTCCAGGGGAGAGGTTAATGGCTGCTTGGACTAGAGTGGTAGCCCTGGAAGTTCTGAAAAGGAAGGATTTGTGATAGATATGTGATAGCCCCAGAGCAGGAAATGTGCTGGTTCTTTACCTTTAAATCCTGTGGTTTCTGATAATTCTGGCGGCTTTAAATCTTTCTATATTGTGGCAAAGGAAAAGAATTGCTCCTAGGGCATATGAAGGAGTTAATTTACAGCATAGACTGTACACCAATCAGGGTTGTTTTATTAAATCTAGCAAGTTGCAGTATTTATTTGATTTTCTTTAAATGTAACATTTTGTTGTTGCAGGAAATGTTTTCGTATTTGTCCAACCAACTAAAGAAGCTGTCAGAAGCCTACAATGGAAGAGTGTTGCATACACCTCACAATCCCATATCTTTAGGTAATTTTTTTTCTTAAAAAAAACATAGTACTTCTGAACCATCCGCAGTGGGAAGCTGGTGTTTCTAGAAAGAGTATGAATTCTTTCTGGTTACAGTGATGTTTCTAATTTCATTACAGTGCTAATTTGTAAATTTTAAAAGTTTAGTCAGCCTTTATAAATGCTGTATTTCTTTTTTTTTTAACAGCTTTATTGGAGTATAATTGCCTTACAATGGTGTGTTAGTTTCTGCTTTATAGCAAAGTGAATCAGTTATACATATACATATGTTCCCATATCTCTTCCCTCTTGCGTTTCCCTCCCTCCCACCCTCCCTATCCCACCCCTCTAGGTGGTCCAAAAGCACAGAGCTGATCTCCCTGTGCTATGCGGCTGCTTCCCACTAGCTAATCTACCTTACGTTTGGTAGTGTATATATGTCCATGCCTCTCTCTCGCTTTGTCACATCTTACCCTTCCTCCTCCCCATATCCTCAAGTCCATTCTCTAGTAGGTCTGTGTCTTTATTCCTGTCTTACCCCTAGGTTCTTCATGACGTTCTTTTTCCCTTAAATTCCATATATATGTGTTAGCATACGGTATTTGTCTTTCTCTTTCTGACTTACTTCACTCTGTATGACAGACTTTAGGTCTATCCACCTCATTACAAATAGCTCAATTTCGTTTCTTTTTATGGCTGAATAATATTCCATTGTATATATGTGCCACATCTTCTTTATCCATTCATGCAATGATGGACACTTAGGTTGTTTCCATCTCCAGGCTATTGTAAATAGAGCTGCAATGAACATTTTGGTACATGACTCTTTTTGAGTTACGGTTTTCTCAGTATATGTCCCCAGTAGTGGGATTGCTGGGTCATATGGTAGTTCTATTTGTAGTTTTTTAAGGAACCTCCATACTGTTCTCCATAGTGGCTGTACCAATTCACATTCCCACCAGCAGTGCGAGAGTGTTCCCTTTTCTCCACACCCTCTCCAGCATTTATTGTTTGTAGATTTTTTGATGATGGCCATTCTGACCGGTGTGAGATGATATCTCATTGTAGTTTTGATTTGCATTTCTCTAATGATTAATGATGTTGAGCATTCTTTCATGTGTTTGTTGGCAGTCTGTATATCTTCTTTGGAGAAATGTCTCTTTAGGTCTTCTGCCCATTTTTGGATTGGGTTGTTTGTTTTTTTGTTATTGAGCTGCATGAGCTGCTTATAAATTTTGGAGATTAGTCCTTTGTCAGTTGCTTCATTTGCAAATATTTTCTCCCTTTCTGAGGGTTGTCTTTTCCCCTTGTTTATGGTTTCCTTTGCTGTGCAAAAGCTTTGAAGTTTCATTAGGTCCCATTTGTTTACTTTTGTTTTTATTTCCATTTGCCTAGGAGGTGGGTCAAAAAGGATCTTGCTGTGATTTATGTCATAGGGTGTTCTGCCTATGTTTTCCTCTAAGAGTTTGATAGTTTCTGGCCTTACATTTAGGTCTTTAATCCATTTTGAGCTTATTTTTGTGTATGGTGTTAGGGAGTGATCTAATCTCATACTTTTACATGTACCTGTCCAGTTTTCCCAGCACCACTTATTGAAGAGACTGTCCTTTCTCCACTGTACATTCCTGCCTCCTTTATCAAAGATAAGGTGATGATATGCTGTAATGTATTTCTAATATAAAACCTATACGCTGAAAGAATTCAAATCTATGTTGTGTTATACTGAATATATGGAAAATAATACTTTTAACTCTTGCTTCTCACCAAAATAACTTGGTCACTGATAAGGACTCTATATAAATATTTTAAAATTTCTACCAGTTAACAAAACACCATAACATTAAAGATATTCTTATAATTTTTAATGCTGTTATTATTTATTTTCTTGAGTGTGCATGTGTTGGAGAAATCTGTATTTATGATCATTTCATTTTGTCATGTAGTACAAGAATTACTAAACAGGATAAAAAGAATGTTGACTTTTATGCATTTAACTTTTAAACTTCATGATTACCCCTTTTAATTTGTGAATATATATAGTATAATATGGTTCATATTTCATGTATATCTGAGGAAAGTAAGGAAATAATAATCTGTAATTGAAGCCTTTTTCAGGAATGGGCTTCCTTGGAAAACCATTTGGCCACTGATAGATAATAAAATCACCCCAATCAGTCCTTTGTTGGTTTATAATCTATGTAGATATTATAGAAGGTGATACGGTATGATTTGAATCCCAGTTCTGCCATGTACTAGCCTCTAACTTCCTTTTCCCTGTCTATAAGTAGAGATAATGATCCCTCACATACAAAGTTGTTAAAAATGTTTGAGATTATATTTGTAAAGTATCTAGTATAGTAAGTCATATTACCCATGTCATTGTTCCATTTATTTAATTGGAAAATTCACTTTTTGGAAGGGTGATATGGAAATTCTCTTCTGATTCTGAGCATGTTTATGTTAACATATTTTTATCTGATATGGAAACAAATCCTTACTATTTATTAAATAGTAATTTATTACTCCTTAAATAGTAATTTATTAAATCCTTACTATTTATTAAATACATTAAAGTGAAATGGTGCCATGTGACAATGAATAAAAAGTGATATCTCCATGAAATAAGATAGTCACAAAAAGATAAATGCTGTATGATTCCACCTATATGAGGTACTTAGAGTACTCAAAATCATAGACAGAAAGTGTAATGCTGGTTGCCAGGGAGAGAGGAAAATGGGGAATTATTGTTTAATAGGTATAGAGTGTCAGTTTTATAAGATAAAGTTATGGGGATGGATGGTGATGATCGTTGTGTAACAAGATTGAATGTATTTAATACCACTGAACTGTATACCTAAAAATTGGGTAAGATGGTAAATTTTGTTACATGTTTATTAGCACAATAAAAAAAGTGATGTCTCTGTGATTGTTTGTTTCTTAAGTGGTTTTGTGCTGGTGAACCAAGGCTCACTGGAATACTTTTTTCTTTTTCAGCTATGACACTTAAAACACTAGATAAACACTGTGACAAAGCTGCCACTCGGCTTGGCTCCATGCTTTTTACCAGACAGGTTTCTGGAGCCAGGTAAGTATGTTTAAAAGAGGATTGGGTTTATTTCACTTTTCAAAATTAACTCTAATAAAGCACGTTTCTTTAACAATAAGTCCCCCAAGTATGTGCTGAACTGCACCTGAGAATTCATCGTGGAGGAAAAGAATGATGAGGTGGAGAATCTGTAAGGCTGTCACACAGTCAGTCACCTGTGGAACGTTAAATAGTCACAGGAAAGATACGAATCTTGTTTGCCTTAATGGACATAGAAACACAAAGTTCATTACCCCTCTGTACAAATTTTTGTCTTTATTTTCCTTTGTTAGATTATCTTCAGTGGTGTCGCATTATGGTGTTAGAAATAAGTTGTCTTCATTACTAAGTTTAAGTGAAAATGTTTTTAAGGAAAAGTCCATTTCCTAAACTGAAAACGCTATGCAATTCTTGTCTAAGTACTGCCTTTGAAAAATCTACTTTTTGCTTTTATATGTACATAGCTTAAGATGAATTTCATTTTTCATTTTATGTTTGAGGAGGTCAGAGAAAAGCGACTTGAAAAGTACCTTGCTCTAAGTGCTCTTCTTTACGTGCTTCTGCTAAAGAATTTCTCTCTGACTACCAGAGGTTAGAGATTTCACATCAAAGAACAACTTTTTAAAAGGAAAAGCATCTTAGATGAATTCACCTTTTACCTTGATGAGCTGTATCTATATGCAGCATAGCTTTGACACTTCTAAGATGGTTTTCTTGGCCTTGCTCTTTAGTGTTGCCACTATTCGTCTTTACGTTTAGGTTGATCTTAATTGAGTTCTTAAAAAAAAAAAAAGTACTGTTAGAAATCTGCTTATATCAAGTATGACAGTGAAATCAAGCTTTAAAAATGCATGTACCATTGCTGAATTTAATGATTGCTGACCATCAACCCACTGTAAGCAGTTATGTAATTTCTGCTGGATCCTGGCTTTAAAACCCTCCATTGCATAACGTGATCAGATAGATGTAATTCTAATCTATTGATTACTTGAGGCGATACACGGCAGTTAATCAAAGTGGTTTGATTTACAAACTTAAATATTCCATTAAAGTGTGTATATGTGAAATCAGATTCTGGTATTTGATACAAAAACAGGAATAACTTTCTTTTTACCTTTTTGAAGATGTAAAGGTGTTTTTGATTCCTAGAGCTTGTAGCTCTTTAATAGAAGATAAGTAAATGATAAGCATCAGGTAGTACTTTCCTATGTGAAGTGCATTGTATAATTTTATTTTAAGGCTGCAGTCTGTTTTCATAGGCTACGATTTATGGCTGTTATTAAACTTCTTACTAAGTAGGTGTAACGCTTAGTAACACAGCTTTCTTTTGTTTATGGGTGATACTCTGTTAACATCACCAGACATACTAAATTGGTAAATCTTTTCCCTTTCAGGGTTGTGCCTCTTGGGTCTGTGCAGACTGTGAGTGGCTACACTTTCAGAGGCTTTATGTCACATACAAATAATTACCCTTGTGCTTATCTCAATGCCGCATCAGCCATCGGTATGAAGACACAGGATGTGGACTTGTTCATAAATAGACTTGACAAGTGTTTAAAGGCAGTAAGAAAAGAACAAAATAAAGAGAGTGATGTAGCTGGAGTTGACAATTATGATAAAACTGAAGATGTGGTTATAGAAGAAATGGCTTTAAAACCAGATAATGTACTTCTTGGCACATGCCAGGATTCTTCCTGATGTCATGTGAAGGGTTTCTTTGTGATAATTTAAAAAAAAGTGATGAGGCTACAGTATAAGCTAGCAGTTTAAAGACAAGACTTGAGATTTTTGAATTGAGAATTTCATGGAGAATATTTGGTCAAGGAATAGAACATGGTCTGAGCTAGCCATTGACGATTGTTACATTTGTTGTTCTCAGACTGCCTCAATCATTATCCTTAACAGGTTATAATGTACGATTAGCGTTTTTCTAATTGTTAAATATTTGCCAAATAAACATTATGATTCAGATAATTCTTACTAATATAATGATAGTAAAATTACACATTACTCTGATTCTCTTTGAAATGTGTAGACTGCTTTCTTCTGACCATTCTCTATCATTCACAAATTACTTAAGTTTCTGACCACACAGAGTTTAGAAAGATCACTAATGCTACTAATTAGTAGATGTTTGTTGATATGTGTAAGTCACAGTATGCCTGTAAAATGGACATTTCCCAGGAAAGCAGAGTCAAGGTCAAGGTGTAAGCTTTAATTTTTGCTCAACAGAAATGGATCTCACCTGGGGATGATTGGCTTCTTATATCTAAGTAACATCTGGAGATATTTTTGGGGTTTTTTTTTTTTTTTTTTTTTTTTTTTTCGGCCACGCCACACGGCTTGTGGGATCTTAGTTCCTCGACCAGGGATTGAACCCTCGCCCTCAGCAGTGAAAGTGTGGAGTCCTAACCATTGGACCACCAGGGAATTCTCTGGGGATCTTTTTTGATTGTCAAACCTAGTAGGATGCTATTGACATCTAGTGAGGGGAGGCCAGGGGTGCTGTTCAACATCCTACAATGGACAAGATAACTTCTCAAAACAAAGATTTATCCATCCCAAAATGTCAGTAGTGCTGAGGTTGATAAAAACTTCTCTAAAGTAAAAGAGCTCCTCAGTAAAGAGAAGTTTTCCATAGCAACTTGAATTATTCAGTAGTACTTCAAAGAAGGTAGCTCTATAAATGTTACCAACTAAGCAGCATATAGATTCTTTTTTTTGTTGTTAACATCTTTATTGGAGTATAATTGCTTTACAGTGTTGTGTTAGTTTCTGCTGTATCACAAAGTGAATCAGCTATACATATACATATATCCCCATATCCCCTCCCTCTTGTGTCTCCCTCCCTCCCACCCTCCCTATCCCACCCCTCTAGGTGGTCACAAAGCACTGAGCTGATCTCCCTGTGCTATGCGGCTGCTTCCCACTAGCTATGTATTTTACATTTGGTAGTGTATATATGTCCATGCCACTCTCTCACTTCGTCCCAGCTTACCCTTCCCCCTCCCCGTGTCCTCAAGTCCATTCTCTACATCTGCATCTTTATTCCTGTCCTGACCCTAGGTTCATCAGAACCTTTTTTTTTTTTTTAGATTCCATATATATGTGTTAGCATATGGTATTTGTTTTTCTCTTTCTGACTTACTTCACTCTATATGACAGACTCTAGGTCCATCCACCTCAGTACAGATAGTTCAATTTCGTTTCTTTTTAAGGTTGAGTAATATTCCTTTGTATCTATGTGCCACATCTTCTTTATCCATTCATCTGTCAGTGGACACTTAGGTTGCTTCCACAGCGTATAGATTCTTAAGTGAAAACCGAGGTTACCATTTCTAAATATGTAATTATAAATTGTTAATATGGCATGTGTGCATTTTTCCATTTGGGAAAGTGAAAACTTTATTCCATTGTTTTGCTTCAAGGAGTCTGTATATTTGGTTGGTTTGTTCAGGTGTGTTGCACAGCTGTCATTAAGAGTGGTTAACATGGGGATTCTGAACATATTTTTGCTGGAGAGGTGAAAATGATGGAGTATGAAGAACAGGTGTATTCCCTTTTCATTGCCCATATGCTTACTTTCTGAGTCTGAAATTCCAGATGTACTGGCTATAACTATTACGTTTGTTGTTAATTTTAAGAAATAGACTGATGTCTCATAGCCTAAGAAGTTAGTGAAGCCTCTGAATGCACCAAAATGTCAAAGCTGTATTTCTCAAGACTTGCTCTGTGGAGCATTTATTCCTAAGAGATGCTCATGGGTATAAAAGGTTCCACAGACAAATAAGTTGGGGACTTTGCAAACCTGCCTATTGGCATATTAAAGTTTCTAAGAATTCCTTTTATTCCAGTTTGAATGTATCCTTATCTAAAGATGGAACCCTTTTTTTAATTAAATACTTACCGACATCCCATTGAACGATCTTTTGAAAACACTACAGTAGAGAATGCCACGTAGCTTTCTGGATGGTGTTTTTCTCTATTGTTTTGGCATTGTAAATGATGTTAAATGTGAGCTCAGACAGCTGCCACTCCCACGGGTAGGTTAGAATATTTTGGACACTGGCTTGACAACCTTGGAAGTCAACTGTGTTGAGATAAAGTACTTAATTACAAATATTGTAAAGATTACTTTAAAATTATTGTATCTTTGGGGTTCAGATATTTGAAGTGTCTGGGTTCTTTAAATGGCTATAATAACTTCTTTCAAAGGAGTAAATCCTGGATTAAAAAATTGTATAATTTTTTACGTGAATTTGAGACTGAATTGTAGAACTAATAAAGCTGAAGGGTTGCTATAGACCCTCTCGAATCTGTGAAAAGGAATGAAGTGATGTTGCAGATGTAGATGCTGGCAGTGCAGCATACCGTCCACGTAAGCCAAGATTGTTTTCTAGAACGAGTGATCTATATTGTGTGATCATCATTTAGTTTAAGAAAGGCCAGAGCCGAGAGACCAGCAAATGTTTTCTCATCTGCAGTGTATCAGCAGTTCTTGGGCTTCAGCTGCTGAATAGATAATAATTCTAATTGAAGATAAATTACATGAACCCACATGTGAATGATAGATATAACATTTCATTCCTGGTGCCTAAAAATCAGCTGCAGTTTTTATTATTAGTCCTTTCTTTTCAGAGGTTTTGGAATTCCAGCTCTATTCATGCTGGTTTCAATTTGACCTTGAGGTCGGAGAAGTCACAAGAATTTTTGAAGGGATGTTGTAGGTTCTGCATATTGAGGCTTTCCTTTGCCACCACTTCAGTGTCCTTTGACTTGTCGTCTCTCATCTCCACATATGAGTATAAAAAAGCATACAGTTATTTATTTTAGCCTGCTAGTAATGATTGGTAATCCTCATAATTGGCCTCAGTTATTCTCGTACTGGGGCAGAGGGGCAACGGATGATATCTTTTCCAGTCAGTGACTAAGATGTCCTTTTCTGTCTTTATGATCCAACTGCCCTTATTAAGACTATCAGGTAGAATTTTGGAGTTTGGTTTTTAAAGTCATTGGGCTGTGGTAGTCTGCCCCGAAAAGAAGATTGAGTAACATGAAATATTCTTTAGGTCACCGAACGTATTACTAATTATACACACAGCAGGGAAAGGTATTTTAAATCCAGTTCTCAATTTGGCTCTTAAGTTCTCTGCTGACAAATTCTCCCTCTGTGTGATACTAGCCTTAGGAACTCTGTTCAACTATAAATCTTTTTATTTCGCTTTTTGCATTAGTTGACAAGGTGTCCGAATATGAACTATTGAATACAGTTATGTTCAGCCAATAGGCACTTGATATGAAGAATGATAACTTTTAAGTTTTTTCTAATATTTTGCCATAGCACATACCTCTATTGTGGTTCTGTTTCTCTAACCACTATAATAAGAACTGTGATTGAGGTCTAAGCTAGGGGATGTGCTTTTATTTTTAGACTATATGGCTATGATAACGTTTTAGGAAAATTAAAATGAAAACAAAGATAATTTTTTTAACCAGCAATGTTACTTTAATATTGAATTAGTAGCTCATCATGAGTTAAATTCTTGTGGTCTTTCATAGAGGAAAATAGCCAGCAATTGACAACAATGACAAACCCTGATGAGTCTCATTGATAATACACTCAGAGAAATGTTTTTGAATACATCCACATTTGGTGCATATGAAAGTTGGGTTTTCTTTCCCACTGTCTAAGATGTACTAATTTCTGCCAAGCCCTTAAATGGTTTTGTTATGTTTTGCATTTAGGAGGCTGACCTTATTTTGTAACTGAATTTGTGTACACAGAAGTTTGATCATTTCAGAAGTTTGATACCCTCTGAATAATCTGATAAAAACAATTGAATATGCTGTTAACATATAACATAAAGAAATCCAGTGAACAGTTTTTTTCCTTGTCTGTCAAATTGTGTTGATTATTTGTCTCTTGTGGCTACTCAGTGTACAGGTCTAAGACTTACCCACTGCTTCCTTTTGTGCCTTCCTTTTTACTTGCATGCTCTTTGTTGGCCATTATGGTAATACACACATGTAAGATGATGAGTTCAAGGCTAATGAATATATCGTTATCATTTTCCACCTAATATTCTACAGTTCAATCTAAGACCTTAAGCAAAATCTGGAAATGTTTATATGGTCTTGTTTTTATCAAGTGGTATCAACTTGAACTTTCAGAGAAATGTGAGGAAAGGCTATGTTCTTCATATTTATACATATAAATGTATAATTGTGGGGGGATTTTAGCTATTAGAATTGAAGCTGGTGTCGGCCTGCTAACCTGTATGTTATACTAAAGGAAAAAGATGTTTCCAAAAATATTTTTGGTGTAGACTATGTATAAATAAAACTAAATTGTATAATTTATTACATGAAATAAATTTTTAATAAATCATTGATAGTGCATTATATTATTTTACCTAATCACTGCTCCAGATACAATTTGAAAGTACAGATAACTAACATTAAATTACTTGCCAATTTTTTGATTCAGTCAGCAGTATCGACTTGCCCAGAAATCAGCAAGAAAAGGCATACTTTATAATGAGGATCATGAGTCACAGGGGTGGAGGCTAGATTATTTAAAAAAGAAAAAAAACCCAGCAACCATTTCCCAAAGGATCTATTAACTATAGAAAGTTGGAGGCTTAGAAGTATTGAATCTTTTCTAAAGGAAACACCTTAATTAAAAATAAAATAATGTC